GGCACTGAGATTTGGCAGTCCGATTAGAGAAACAATGAAAGCAGAGAGCGCCATAAGGAGAGAAGACGGTCCGGATAGAAAGTTTTACTTATAAGGTATGGAAAACTCCAGAGTCCAAGAGGTAATGGGGACAGAGCACTCGGTCTTCCCAACAAATGCCGGTGACGTCACAGCAGTCTGAGTGAACTCGGAGAGCAGGGGACCGATCAGGCGAGACTGGATTAGTCGGAACATTAAGGTGGGAAGACAACTAAAGAGTCAGCAGAGATGGAAAGCTTAGGGATGGAAGCGGTTATATGAATATAAGGTATGCAAGTCAGGCAGGCTCGCATGTGAGGTTGTGGGTTAGTAGTGCAGAGCCTAAAGCTACATTTCGATAGCCTGGAAGCAGGTAAAGAGGATAATAAGGCAGGGCACTGATAGCTCGCTCTCCGGATGAAGAAGAAATAAAGACAGAGTGGGACAAGGGGAGACAGTGTCGAGAGAAAACGTTTACGGATAAGAAACGCGACAGTTAACGTTGCTCTCAAGGTAATAGTGACAGAGCGTTCAGTCTTCCGAGCAATGGCTTACAACGTCAAAGAAGTCGGAGAGAAGGAGACCGCTCAGACGAGACTGGATTAGTCGGCGCATTGCGATTAAGTAGTATAGTTCATTTGGGAAGATAAATGGAGTCAGTAGGATTGGACTGGTCAGAGATTGATGTGGTTATGTTAACATAGGGTGAACAAGTCCAGCAAGCAGTCGAGGTGAGGGAGACACTGCTTTGAATCGACCGAGCCTAGACCGATATCATCCCTGTAGCCTGTTAGTTGTCCGAGAGTATTTGGCTGATGAGATTAGGCTAAATTAGGGCAGGGCGCTGAGAGTTGGCCGTCCGATTGAAGAATGATTGAATACAGACGGCGCTCAGTCATCTGAACGATGGCCAGTAATGTCACAGCAGTCTGAGAGAGGTCGAACAGCAGGAGACCGATCAGACGAGACTGGATTAGTTGGCGCATTGTGATTGAGGATATTGTTCATTTGTGGAGACCGTTGGAGTGAGTCGAGAGCTTGACAGGTTAAAGATGGATGTGGCTACAGTAATAAAAGTTGATCAAGTCCAGCAGGCTGTCGTAATGAGGAAGGCATTACGTTAAACCTACCTTGCCTGGAACGTTAACATCCCGGTAGCCTGGAAGAAGTCAAAGAGAAGCAGACTGGTCAGATGAGACTAGGAAAATAAGGGCGTTACGGCGGATCGTCCGAGGTACAAGCAGCACGTCCCACGCCTTCTTTCGTCGGTTGTGACGCTGCTTGAGGACAATCTACTCTTCCCATCCAGTGAGGCAAACTATGAAACGATGAAGCAAGAAATTTTAGAGAGATCCGTCACAGCGCAGAGCTTCATTTGAACAGCTCAATGGCCTCAAGTTTGGTAATCGCGAGCCGTCGGCATTGCTCCGCGAATTTCAGCACATCGCTGGTCCCTTATTCTTGTACGAAGTAGGGATAAAGTAACTATTGTTTGCACGTCTCCTAGAGCGCTTGCCAATAATGCTGTCCTTGTTTATAGATACACCACTGAAAGAATTAGATTCCAAGGCAGACGCTGCGTACGATAGTTTTCCGCAGCAGACGACAACTATAACCGGTGACGTATTCTCACCGATAAAAACCGAATCGCCTATTTTCTCACACTCCTCAGGCCCATCTGACCCTAAAGACATGGAAATTGCGCTACTTCGCAGCGGGATAGCGGCAATGAAGGCTTCGAAGCAGCGTGTGCCACTGTCAAATGCTGACCACGTTTTGGCTGCTGTTCATTGCGGTTCGCCTCTGCCTGCACCGAGTACGTCTCGTTCGGCACTAAAGCGCCACATTTCCCCTGCACGTTCTCAGTCAGATAATACTGAACCCGTCGAAGGAGTATGTTGGTACCACAGCCAATAGGTTGGAAGAGCTAGACGTCGTCGGGCTCCCTGCATTAGGCACGACCCTGCTGCTTCCGGGAAAGCGAATAGCCCGCATACTAGCACGACCAACTTATCCGTCAATAACCAAGCAACTCGCCTGTTTTACGTTAAGGGTCGACGTTCTTCCAAAACGTTCCTCATCGACACAGGAGCGGAAGTCAACGTCATCCCAGCGAACGCTGACGACAAACACTCAGCGCCTACGTACCATTTGCGTGCGGCCAATGCTTCCCCGATAGCTTCATTCGGTCAGTGCATGATGCACCTGGACCTCAATCTTCGCCGAGCATTTCAGTGGGTCTTCATGATTGCGTCTGTACCCTTCGCAATTATCAGATTCGACTTCCTCCGACATTTTAATTGCTTTTTGCTGCTGGTCACCACCAACTTTTAGACGACCGTACTAAACTACGGGTCGAATGCGTTCTTACGGATGCCCCGATAATCAGTCCCGTCGATGTACCATCAGATTATGCGAACCTACTGCCTGAGTATCCACGACTGGTACGACAAGCTGCAGAGCTTCCGCCGTCACGACAGAGGTCGCTCATCACATAGTCACGCGTAGTCAGCCAGTTAGCGCACGACGAAGACGGCTTGCTCCTGACAAAAAACGTGCAGCACAGGCTGAATCCGACCACATGCTTCAGCTCGGTATCGTCAGACCGTCCAACAGCCCATGGGCGTCGCCTCCGCTCATGGTCCCGAAGAAGGCCATGTGGGCTGACATCATTGCGGCGACTATCGAATCTTGATTACAATTACGTCGCCTGATCGCTACCTGATCCCACACATAGTGGTGTTCAGCGCCAGTCTGGCGGGTAAAAATATCTTCAGCAAAAGCGACTTGGTACGCGCAAACAACCAAATTCCGGTAGCCCAAGCGGACAGCGCTAAAACTGTCGTGACGACTCCATTTGGTTTGCTCGAGTTGCTGCACATGTCATTTAGTCTAAAGAGTGCCGCCCAAACATTTCAGCGCTTCATCGACGATGTTTGTCGCCTCTTAGACTTCGCTTATGCGCATCTGGATGACATTTTAATCGCAAGCTCTTCACGAGATGAGCACATGCGCGACGTACGAACACATTTGATCGTTTATCTCAACACGGGGTGACGATCAACGCAGAAAAGTGTTCGGTTGATGTCGATTCAGTCAACTTCCTAGGCCATCGTATCTCCGCTGCAGGCGTTGCGCCACTGCAGGATAAAATTCAAGCCAACATCGACTACCCCGAGCCTCATTCTTTCAAACAGCTTAGGCGTTTTGATGGTCTCCTCAACTTTTACCGACGATTTATACCCAACTGCACCTCGCTGATGCAAACCCTTACGGACCTTTGCCGAGTAAGACTCAAGAAATTTGCGTTTCCGGCCGCAGCACGGGCTGCTTTTAAGTCGCTGAAAGAGACTATCGCCAACATAGCTTCTATCGCGCATCACGATCCGGCCGCCCCACTGCCCTCGCTACTGACGCCACGGACGTGGCAGTCGGCGCTGTTTTGCAGCAAAGAGTAGCCGACCCGTGGCAGCCCTTAGCGATTTTCTCCAAACGCTTGCAGCCTACTGAATCTCGCTACAGCAAGTTCGGTAGAGAACTTCTAGCCGTGTACCTAGCGATACGTCACTTTCGACACGTCCTAGATGGCCGCTCCTTTGCGGTGTTCACCGTCCACAAACCCCTGACTTACGTGCTCTGCTCGACAACCGACCGATGCTCTCCTAGATTTGCGCCACCTTGACTATATCGCTCAGTTTACGACCGATATACGGCATGTCTGATGGGTGCACGACGCCGTCACCGATGAACTTCCTCGTATCCAAGCTATCTCCGCTGACGCCGGCACTGCTATCGACTTGGCAGCCATGGCCACAGCGCAACTCAACGACACTAAGGTTGATCTACTACGCAGCTCTCCCCCTTTGGACATACGACCCGTTGCGCTGACATCATCAAACGACACTCTAATTTGCGATTTATCTCTGGGCACGCCGCGCCCAGTCGTCTCACGCGAGTTTCGGCAGACCGTGTTCGACGTGTTGCACGGCTTGTCTCATCCAGGCGTTCGTGCATCGGTTAAACTCGTAACCGCACGATTCTTTTGGCGTAATATCAATCGTGACCTCCTTACTAGGGCAGCTGCTTGCCTTCCGTGTCAACGCGTGAAGGTGCACAAGCACAAGAGAAGCCCATTAGGCAAGTTTCCGAAACCAGACGCACGTTTTCATCACGTGCACGTGGACCTCGTAGGTCCACTGTCGTCTTCGATAGGCTCTGTTTATTTACTGACTTGTGTCGATCGGTTCACTAGGTGGCCGGAAGCTATTCCCATACATAACTGCTCTTCGGAAACAGTAGCGAAAACTATTCTGGTGCGCTGGGTAGCTCAACACGGCTGTCCCGCCATCGTGACCACCGATCAAAAGTCACATTTCTCGTCAACGTTTGCCACGGCGCTTAAGGATTTAGGCTGTCGCCTCATTCAGACAACGGCGTATCATTTGGCCGCTAACGGCATGACGGCGCTTTTCACCGCCAGTTTGAGGCAGCGCTACGTGCGCATGCAGATCCTTCGTGGTCTGAAACACTTCCCCTCGTTCTCCTAAATAAATAAATAGTTTATTATCGAATTTGTCGAGGCACACCAAGCAAGGCATGATCAACATTTACATGCAATATTGCTTCGCAACAAACACGTTGCTATGAGTGTAATCGGCAGTAAGCCGAAGGTTGTACAGGCTGCGGAAATTGTGTAAGTAATCATGAGGGAGAGTCATCATTGAATGATGAGACGTTGGGTTCTAGCGTTCGTAGTGTAATGAAAACGATACATATACGCACAGTGTAACTTATTATTGAAAGTGTCAGGGCAATATTGAATTATGATTCTGGTCGACTTGCCAGTAGGTAGTTCTGGGCAGTGACTTTATTCGGTGGCGAGTCACATCCGCCACGTCGCAGTGTTGTTACACGGACATTTGTGGCTTTTATAGGGAGAACGCTTGCCAGGCGAAAACCCACCACGTCCTGGAACACTGTCAGAAATTTGTTTGTGCACTAATATACAACTGGCAGACCAGGTTGTCGACTGATTTCACACTCAGATATCCGCAGTCAAATGACCTTCAATTTCCTCTGTTAGTTGATCAGGTTTCTTGGGCAGCGCCGCCATAATGGCTGAGGCGAATCGAGGATGGGGGCTTCAGGAAGAATCGTCTTTGTGGGTATCCAGGTGGGCAAAACGTCAGTTTCTTGCGTCTGGATTTTTCAGGAGTATGTATTCTTTTCAGGAGTGTGAAGTTCTCGAGTCCAGCTATCATCACTGGACAACGGTCATGGTAGTGAGTGCTGTTGTATCCGTTTGTTGTACAGCCATGTGCTTCATAGGTCCTTATGGGTTGTCCTGTCCCGGACAAAAGCGGTTTCTCGGTCCAATCCCAGATCCCCAAGAAGTTCCGGACCTCGGAGAAAAGGGAAGGTGAGAGACAACCAAGGCCGCAACGAACAGGCGTGGAAACAAACATTGTTAAAATCCTATGTTATAACATTTAGAGTGGAGACAAATGATGTACAATGTGCAGCAATGATTGTGCTGAAAGTGTCTTTTGAATGTTTTTCGAAAGCAATGGCCCTATAAGTTGGTTGCTACTATCTACATGGAATACAGAGCGTTGCGCCATTAAGCAGAAACGCAGTATCAGTTTACTATGATGCGACTATTGCGTGGGAAGACAGAAAGCAGAGTTCAGGGACCAGCGGCGTTTGAATGGTGGATGGACGGCTGGTGGCCAGCCTACATCGAAAGAGATACAAAGGTCAATTGGTGGTAAGTCAGCGGATAGATAGGACTCAAGCGCTGAGTAAAAATTATCGGGGGATCAAGACAGAAAGACGACACGAGGGTACTAGGAGTATAGTGCTATGGCCTACTGAAATAGGAAAAGCCTATGAGAGCTAACCTCCTACAAAGGTAAGTGTCGAAACCTTTGCTGCAATAACGGACCCAGATTACTAGGTGAGAAAGAATTGATCGATAGAAGTGAAGTATTAAAGATCAGTTAAAAGAAAGGGAACGTGCGGAACAAATGTATACGTAGTGTCGCGCAGAGAAACAAGTCATTCTAGGGTGCTAAGAAAATGGTGAGAAATGAACACCTAGAAATGTGAAGCTAACGGGCGTCTGTGTGCTGACCAGGTGAGAGGAGTGAAGAACTAAGAGGCTAAGAAACATTAATTGACGGAAGGGTAGGGAATAGCCGGAATGCAAGCGTAGAGTAAGGTTGCTTAGAGTATCAGAGCAGTGAGGCCTAACCGCAGCAGCTAGGGTGCTAAGATAATAGTACCAAGCTGGATAGTGCCAGAGAATGCTAGCCCGAGAGCTGGAGGATTGCAGGTAATAAGGACTAAGACAATACATCGAGTAAGGGATAAATGAACATTAAGAAGGGTGAGGCAAAACAGCGGCTTGTGCTGAATACATGGATATGCCTGCACGACAGAAGAGAGCTAAGAAAGGTTTCATGAAGGAAGGACAACGAACGGATGAATCACAGGCATACGTTAAGGCTCTTAAATAGTTTAGAGCAAAAATAGGCGAAGACGCGGCGACGCGCACATAATAAGATCATGCTGTGGTGCTAAAGGAATAAAACTAGGGAAGGCTGAGCCGGGAGAAGCCAGTGAGAGAGCTGAACTACTATTAATTAGGTGTCACAGACGAGTGACAGCTGGGCATCTAGCAAGGAGCAGCTGTGCACTGACCGGATGAGGTAAAGAAGGTCGCCAGACGAGAGCTAAGAAGGTCGAATAAAGAAAGGACAATAGACAGGAAGAATGCAAGCGTACAGTGAGTTGATTGAGGGAGTCATATCATATAATGCTGAACCACGGCGGTGTATAAGTTCACAATTCATGCTATGGTGCTGGGATACTACTACCTTGGAAAGAGCCTGGGAAAGCTAGTCCAATAGCTGGACGCTTGCAGGTGAAAAAGTCGAAGACGTTGCAACAATTAAGAGATATGAGAACGTCTAGGATAGAGAGGCTAAGGAGCGGCTGAGCGCTGACTTGAAGAGTTAGGAAGGCTTTCTAGGAGAAAGCTGAAAAGTTTATATGGAAGGACATCAAATAGTCGGAGTGCATGCATACATTAAGTCTGCTGAGGACATCGCAGCATACGAGTCAGAGGCGCGCAGATACTGAGTTGTGTTATGGTACTAAGATTTTATTCCTAAGGTAGACTGGGCTGGAAAATGCCAGTGAAAGGTCTGGAATCCTGCATGAGCACGCGTCAGAGACGTTGCAGCAAGCAACGGATAAGTGGACGTTAAGAAGGGAGAGGAAATGGAGCGACTGTGCGAAGGCCACACGAGTTATGTTTGCTCCAGTGAAGAGAGTTAAGGAAGGATTTATGAAGTGAGGACAGTGCACGGCTAAAGCGCAAGCATACGATATAAATAAATAAAAAATAAATATTTTATTCTCGACTATGCGAGGCACGCTCATGGAGGCATGATCAGATATGTACAACGGTTCAAACATTATAATGCAATTGTAACAGTAACGCAGAAAATTGTTCATATATCCATGATTGGAACTGTACAATGTTGAAAATGCGAAACAATAAGTTGGCTGTCATAAGATACGGGACCTCAGCTAATAAGAGATTGAGAATCCTGAATGATCCATTGAAAGGTAATGGAAGAGCCCGCACACAAGGAAGGAAAAGTGCAACGTATCGTAGGATGTAAAACGACAACAGTATATACAGATGTAGAAGTCCCAGTGTAACGATCCTATGTAGAATTGGGACGCTAGTTGACCTGCCAGTGTAAAGTTATGGGCTGTGACTTTATTCGGTGGCGAGTCACATACGCCACGTTGCAGTGTTGTTAAACGGACATTTGTGGCTTTTTGTAGGGAGAACGCTTGCCACGCGAAAACCCACCACGTCCTGGAACGCTGCCACCAATCCATTGAATGGCAAATTGTAACTGGCTATGTTTCCTGTTAAAAGTCTGTTTGCTCGGTTATTCGCAGTCAGGTTGCGTCCCATTTTTTCCGCTGGTTGATGCAATAACTGGATACCTATTGCGCACCTGGGTCCTGTCCATTGGTAGGTCGGGTACTAAACATTCTTATTGAATATGATGTGTTGATCCTTCGCAGAACCACATGAAGTCATCTCTGATTATGTATATTTGCCGGGGAGCGAAGAATTCGTGTCCAGCTACCCTCACTGGACATCGGTGGTTGGGTGCAAATAGTTAGAGTGGAAGTGAGGCCATGGTCCAGGTAAGTACTTGTTGGTTATTTCGTCCCATCCCAGACGGAGGCGGTTCCTCAGTTCAATCCCGAAGCTCTCCGATGTTCATGACCTCAGAGAAAATTTAAAGAGGAACAAGCCGAGAGAAGACCGAAAAGGAACAGTCAATGTACCTAGAGTTTGCTCAAAATCCTACATTAAGACATTTATTTGAGACAACTAGTGTACAAGGTGTAACAGATATTACGCTAAAGATGTTTTTACTTATGCGGAAGGCATGGCCTGATGGGTAGAATACTTTCATGTGCATAGGGATGAAGAGCAGGATTCCGGTAAGATATTCATGAGGTGTAAGCTGACAATGTTCGAATGCTACCTGAGACTAGAACGTGGGTGTGTAGTCACGATTGGTTGTTATCGGAAACCCAAAGACAGTGAAGATGTGGCCGTATTTATATATGCTCCACGGGTTAAGGATTACCTAAGACACCATAACTACAATGTACATAGGTATATGAATATAGGACGCTGAGCATATTACAAGCAGGCTAAGATTAAATGGATATCAAAGGAAGACTAGGTGTTGAAGGTAAGACGATTAGAAGATATCGATACTGGGCCGGGTATCAGTGGCCAAGGGTGCCTGTTGGGTTAATCATTCTAGTTACTAATGAATAACAACCGTGTCAAAGGATCGGACAGCAAACCAGCTGAGCTGTGAATAAACTATACCAGGAGAATAAGCAATCTACAGAAGGACTGACGCCTAGCGAGCTAAGGAGTATTCCCAAAGTTGCATAGAGCCTACAGCGAACAGCTGCCGCAGAGCAGAGATAGTGGCTAAAGGAAAGGATGTATCAGTGGCTGATTCAACCATAACATTAAGACTTTTGACCACATGTCAAGTAAACGCGAGTAAGACAGACGACGGATAACGGCGCGCTAGGAGAGATGAATGGCCAGCAATGGAGTTCGAAATAAGGCTTCAGCTACTAGCGGATCCTACGGTGGCACAGAATAGGTCAACAAACAGCTGAGCTTTGACGCAAACAATCAAAGAGATGAACATGGTAAGAACGGAGCGAGCTCCGGGTATCCGCAAAGTTAAATGGAACCTATGGCTACTAGCTGCTGCTAAGCAGAGATAGTGGCTCAAGAAAAGTATGTATCAGAGGCTGGCGTAGCCATATGATTAAGAAGTTTGACCACTACTGGATACCTACAGTTTCAGTGAATAAATCAACAGACGAGCGCCGAATAAGGAGACAGACTTCAAAAGAGAATGAACGCTGGAGCGTCAAGAATTTGCTCCTTCCAGGCTACATGAGGCCAACAACAACTAGCTACTGCCAGTAAGAAAATTGCACGAGAGTAAGACGAAAAACGGATAACTGCGCGCTAGGAGAGAGATGAATGGCCAGCCACAGAATTCGGATTAAGGTGTCAGTTACTAGTGGATCCTACGGTGGCACAGAATAGGTCAACATACAACTGAGCTGTGACGCAAACAATCAAAGAGAATGAACATTGTAAGAAATGAGCAGCTCCTAGAGAGCTCCGGGTATCAGCAAAGTTGAAGTGAGGCTATGGCGACTAGCTGTTGCTAAGCAGAGATAGTGGCTCTAGAAAAGGATTTATCAGTGGCTGGTGAAGCCATATGATTAAGAATTGTGACCACTACTGGATACCTACAGTTTGAATGAATAGGTCAACAGACGAGCGCCGAATAAGGAGACAGACGTCAGAGGAAATGAAAGCTGGAGTGTCAAGTAGTTGCTCTTTGTAGGTTTCATGGGTCCAACAATGACTAGCTACTGCCAAGAAGATTGACGCGGTTGTTAAATAGTTCCGAGCATAAAAGACGAAGATGCGGCGACGCGCAGATGATGAAATCATGCCGTGGTGCTAAGGTAGTAACAGTAGGGAAGCCTGAGCAGGGAGAAGCCGGTAAAAAGGCTGAACAACAAGTAATTAGCTGTCAGAGTCGAGTAAGTGACGGCTGAGCATCAAGCAAGGAGCGAGTAATGAATAAATGAGCGTCTAGAATAGAGAGGCTAAGGAGCAGCTTTGGGCCGACCACGTGAGATATGTTTGATCTGCAGAAGAGAGCTAAGAAAGGTTTCATGATGGATAGAGAGTGAATTGGTGGAGCGCAGGCATACAATAAGGTTGTTAAATAGTTCAGAGCATAAAAGGCGTAAATGGAAGCCTGTGCCGGGATAAGCCGGTAAGAGAGCTAAACTGCATTATACGTAGGTGTCATAGACGTAGTGAGGAATAGATAAATAAACATCTGGTTAAGGAGCGGCTGCGCGCGGACT